TTGACGCAGCTGCAGTCATGGCCCCGTGGCAGTTTCAACCCAAAAAACATTTCCCTACTCCTGGAAGTGACAGAAAGAGGGACCCGCTGGAGTGCAGACCTCCCTGCAGACTCCTTGCTCACAGCCTGACTTTCACAGAGAGCCAGAGGACAATGCTTTTGGCAGTGACTTTATGCTGCCTCTGCAAGTTACCGCCTGCCAGCTGAGCTAAGGTAATTCTACCACAAAGCTAAGGTAATTCTAGCTGCAAGGCAAAGCACATCAGCCCAGTCCACCTCTGAGCAGCTCACAGGTCTTAGAGGTCTTAGCTCCCCATCTGTGTGGCTCCAAAGAGGAAAACGTTTCTTTTGAGCACCTTTGCACATGGGAAGCAACCTGCATCCTCTGCAAGAAAGGAACATGCTGGTGGAGCAGTGCCACAGAGGATGTCCCTCACACTGTCACTGCCCCCAGGAGATGTCCCACCCAAAGGAAACAGAGCACCCAAGCCCATACCTTGTCCTCTAACCGGTCCATCAGCACAGAGGAGATGTGGCCAACCTTGGCAATCAGCATCACCACAGTTCTGGTGCCCTCCAGTTCCGTCCACCGCAGCTCCAGCTTCTTGATGACCTCATTGAGCAGTTTGCTCTCCTTGCCCTGCTTGACAGCCAAGAACTCTGCCAAGGAGGCGAGCTGGCGGAAGGCAAGCCGCCGCAACCGCCACAGCACCTCGTGCTCCACAGACTGCATCTCCCTGCTGCTGCTCTCCATCCCCAGCGAGTACAAGCTCTTCAGGAGGCCCACCAAGGTGTTATTCCACACCTGAGATATCTGGGGGGCAAGTAAAAATATTTAAGTTGATTTTTACCTTTCTCTGGAGGTGCACACACCTAAATTTCCCTGTGGCATGGCTGGAAGATGACCTCAGTGAGCAGTGAAATAAACGAGGCAGAATCACAGCGAATGATGCTCAGGGCAGGATGGATCAGGTGGCCTCCAGCAAACAGACTCTTTAACCGCCCTGCCTAACTCAACTCCAGCACTGCAACATCCTAAAACAGCACTCAGGGATGGCTCAGTGCTTGGGTGCAAGAACGACCTGAGTGCTCTCAGGGTAATCCACTAAAGTTACCAGGGTGTGGAAATCCCAAAGCAGGACGCAGCTGAGAAAGCAAGCAGAGCTCCTGGTGTCCCAGCCGCACAGACTGCTCTTCCTGGTCTGACCTTGTGTGCTGCTTCAGCCCAGACCCTAATGTTCAAAGCCTCCAACTTGTTGACACAGGGGTGTTGCAAGGCGACTTAATTTCAGTCACAGAATGGCTTTGGTTGGAATGGCTCTCAAGGATCATGAATCTCCAAACCCCTGCCACAGGCTGGGCCACCAACCTCCCCATTTAATATCAAACCAGGCTGCCCAGGGCCCCATCCAACCTGGCCTTGAACACCTCCAGCCCCTCTGCATCTATATAACGACTTCTTATATTGAGTTCGCTGCACATTGCAGGAACAGCTCTTTGGAGAAAAACAATTGTGTTTGCAGTGAGTTTGCTTGATTATATCCCAGCTAGACATGTTCTTATCCACTTCCCTTTTGGGAGCAAGGCCATGCTGCTCAGCTTGCTTTCCCAGCACAGCAGCTCAGCTCTCCTAGCTCTGGGGTCCACCTTCTCTGCTGAACCACAGACACCTGCATCCTTTTTTTGTGTGCGACCTGACACTGATACATCTCTGCCACCAAGTGCAGAGAAGGTATCAGCTGTGAAAATTCACAAGGGAAAGGAAAAGGCAGCACTCTCTGATCCAGGCCAGCCTTCGCAGAGCCATTCTTTCTCCAAACTGCCTCCATCACAAGAAGGGAACTCACCTGAGAATCCACGATCTCAATAAGCTGCTGAAATCGTTCATCTTGCAGAATGCCCCCCGTTTCCAGGTTTTTTTCCACTGCAAGCCGAGAAAGCCGAGTAATCACCAGCGAAGCCTGGTTGCTATTTAGAGAGTGAAGCTCACCCAACTGGAAGAGTTCCTGAGGACTTGTGGCTGCCTCAATGAGGTTCAGGATCGCTCTGTGCTCTGAGTTACTGTTTTCTTCCACCTGCTCTTTGACAGAGAATCTGTCTGCGTTCCAGGCGGAGGGGACGGAGATGTGGATGGAGGCAAGAGGTGTGTGTGGCAGGGCTCTGGCTGCTGGCAGCTTCCCATTGGGCAGCAGCAGAGTGGCCGGGGCAGCAGCAGGAGCGCAGGTGAAGGTGACGAGGTGCCGCCAGCAGCAGCGCTGCACCAGCCGGGCTGCCATGGCGGGGATCTGAGGGGCTCAGCGCTGCATCTTGGGGAGGCTGGAGGAGGAAAAGAAAGGCTTTAGGAACGGGAAGGTTCAGGGGGAACGAGGAGAGGTAACAGGTTTAAAGCTGCGAGTCACAGATGCATAGAGCATCCCTATGGATACCCCTATGAATAGAATAAAAAACTGAAAGGGACCCACGTGGACAGACCCACGGTATCACTTTGGTTGGGAGATGCCTCCAAGGTCACCAAGTCCAACCATTAACTCAGCACTGCCAAGCCTATCACTAAAGGACGTCCCTCAGCACCACATCCACACGTCCTTTAAATATCCCCAGGGATAGAGACTCCACTCCTTGCCGGGGCAGTCAGTTCCGATGCTCCACAACGCTAGATCCTTCATAACGCCCCACCCAAACCTCTCCCGGCGCAACCTGAGACCCGGGCCTCCCCTCCCCGTGAGCCGAACCGGCCGAGCTCCTGGCCCGGAGGCTGCGCTGAACCCGCAGCGGCCTCAGTGTGGCCGTAGTCCTACGGAAACCCCGATCCCGGCCTGCACACAGCTCCCAGAGAACTCGAACCGCGCTCCCGATCACCCCGGGCCGCAGAACCGCAGCCATCCGCGCTGACCTCGCCCGGCCCCGCCGCACGCTGGCCCGGCAATGAGGCGAAGTGCGCATGCGCTCCGGCGCGGACTGATGACGTCATCACAGCGCAGCCACTTTCTATTGGCTGAACTCACCGTGTCCCCCGACAGAATCGAGCGCGAAAGAGGGAGCACTTCCGGTTCGCGGCTGACGGGCGCCGCCATTTTGTGATGGGTACTGTGCTGAGGGTCGCGTCTGGGCACGCAGCTCTGGCCGGGTTCGGTTCGGTCGGGTCAGCCAGGCCACAACCCCGGGCCCGGCTGTGGGAACGGGGAAACCAAACAGAGCCCGGGGCGGTGCTCTGGCAGCGCTGGGCGGAAGGCAAATAAAAGGAGATTTATGTGCTAGGCACGCCCCGTTGCTGTTTGCTCAGCCGAGTAGTGACAGGACAAAGGGAAGAGCTTTAAATGAAAAGAAATTGAAGTTCGGCATCGGGAGTGTGTGCGGGTGTCACAGCCCTGCAGTGCTCAGCGCCGGGCTGCATGTGGCACGGGGCTGTGGGAGGAGATTCCTGCACTCTGTGTGCCTACAGGTGGGATGTGAGGGCCCTTCCGACCATTGACGGGAGGCCTTGCTGCTCCCTGCTGCTCCCTGAAAGGAGACCGAACTGTGGCGGGGGTCGGCCTCTGCTCACAGGTAACAGCGATAGGATGAGAGGGAATTGCCTCATGTTGTGCTAGGGGACGGTCAGGTTGGATAATGTGAGAAATTTCATCTCTGAGTGAGCAGAGATGCAGTGGCACAGGCTGCCCAGGGAGGTGGTAGGGTCACCGTCCCTGGAGGTGTTCCAGAAACATGGAGATGTGGCACTGAGGGATGTGGGCAATGAGGTGAGCTGGGGTTGGGACTGGGGATCTCAGGGGTCTTTTCCAGCCTTAATGATTCTGTGATTTGTGATCTTTCTAAGGGCTCATTCCTGCTTTGGGTGGCAGCTATGAAACAGGAGACCAGGCTGCAACCTCTGTGGGAACCTGACCCTTTGCTGAACTAACTCTCAATAAAATGTTTAAGAGAATTTCCCGTGTTGGGTCATGACTGGCTTCCAGCCACCATTCTTATTCTCTTTCTTGTGAGAAAACACTGGTGTTGAGCTTGGAGATGACCCCCGGTAAAACCCTGGCTGTCATGAGGCATCCCTTCAGCCTCACTGCTCAGTGCTGAACAAACCCAGCGCGCTCAGCTGCTCCTCACCAATCCTGCCCTCCAGACCCTTCACCACCCCATGCCCTGCAGCACGGACAGGGATGTGGGATGCAGCCTGGAGTGGGACAGGGCCCCACAGCCCATGGGCACAGCCACATCCCCACCACAGCTTTTCCCCCACAGATAACTGCCACGTTGTGGCTGCTCCCCCTGCGCCCACGTTTCCGCATTGCCCAACTTCAGGGCCAATAAA